TAACTTTGCTGTATGTATTTTATATTCTTTATGTATTTTATATTTCAATTTATTCCTGTTGATCTTTGCACTGTGCTTGTTGTTTGTTTTTAGACAATCGTTCTGATATGTTTCTTACTGTAAAGTGTCCTTGGGTGTCCTGACAGGCACTTTTTAAATAAAATTATTATTGTTATAAAAAAATCTCCACATTTCAGGTTTTTTGTCTGTTTGTTGTTAAATTGACCAAAAATATATTTTTATGGCAGTTTGAGGATGAAGAAAGTCGTTTTCCACTTTAATTTGTCCAAAAGTATTTTTTGGTAATTTTTCAAAGATTTCAGTTGAGTTTTTGAAGACCCTCCAGCCCCCCCCGGACCCTCCAGAACCGTTAGCTGAAAATGATGCTGTGTTTTTGTTAAATGTGCACGTGTTGCTCGGTGGTCAGACATGGAGGTTTTGTTTTCCTGAAAGTCTCCTCGTGCACGACACCAGTTTGTGTTTCATTAGTTCTTCTAGTGAAGCAGATATTTTAGCAGCTGCTGCAGCCGCTGCATCAACTATTGACTTCCTGCTTTGGGGGGAGCCAACAGGAGTCAGACGTTCTGAGCTGAGGAGTGCACGATTCTTCAACCTGCACGCACGTGGAACAGCTTTTCATACTAAATGCTGACTTGTGCACAATAAAAGTGTCTTTTTGCTCTTTACACTCCAACTAAAACTATTTTGTGGGACGAGCCGAGACTCTGCAGCAGCGTCCAGCTGGGAACAACGCAGCACTTCCAGGGTACGTTGAAGTCTGTCCTGATAATCTTTACAGAGGTTTACACATGGAACAAGGAAAACTTCACCAAGTCAGCTAATACAGCAATTAAAAGTACAGAGATGAAGGTCAGAAACATTACTGATAGGAATGTTTTTATGATAAGACAAAGATGTGATGAAAAGTTGTATTTATAACGGTTTCAAATGGCTGATTGTCCCTGATGAACACTAAAGGGCCGTAAAGTTACTGTGAGCTTACAGGAGCATTTAAACTATTCTGACTAAATAAATGACTTTACAAG